ATATAATTGTATTTTTATATCACAATAATCTTCCAATGTAGAACTACAAGTTAAAAAAGCACTAACATAAGTAAAATACACTTCAGCTAAATACTTGTTTATTACTAATTTATTTTCCCAAACCACGCGGAGCCGCAGGTTATCGACCCCTGGCCCAGCCGAACACCCTCAGCGGGCTCCTTTAGATGCAGAAACACTCGCCATGCATCAAACATGGATGCAGACATCATGATGTCACAGGCCTCATGACAGCATTTCAGCTGCCGCCATGTTGGATTTCTGGAGTGAGACGTGGTCAAAAATGCATCACTTCATGAAGATGTTATGATGATATTCACAGAAACTGAAAAAAGTTTATTATGGAAAAAAATGGAGGCGGAAACTCAACTGTACAAAAGGAACAATCGTTTGCAACGTTGTTAGCAATGGTCGCAGTCAGCACATGGTTACCATGACAACTTTAACACAGACGACTTGTTTGGTATGAGGCCACGGACGGAGGAACCAGGAGGACAGGAAGTCGGACACAGGAACGGAGCAGAAATGTGCGCTCATTTCAAAATAAAAGACCCCCAATCTCTCCTAAATGCTGCTGCTGAAAGCTCCGTCACAGACGGGTGTGCTGCTGACGACCTTTCACGGTGCTCGTTCGTGTCCTGTGCAGAACTTGCCCTCGACCCTGCTAACTTCTGTCTCATTAGTGCCCGTGTGGAGCTAAAGCCGAGGCTGCTTTACGGAGTTCTGCAATAAAGGCGGTGATTACTGTGACCCACTCATGAATAAATCACAGCGCACACAGAGGAAAAACACACGGGACTCGTGTTCGTATGTACAGCTGACATTTATAGAGCTAATAGAAAACACGGTGGTACAGATCATTTATAAAAACGAAACCAGAACAACATAAATAGCAGGAATACAGAATCCTGGTCAGTACAAATGTCTTGGTCCCCTTCCAGCATCAGAGTCGAGGCAGAGTGAAGGCGAGGCTGGTGGAAGATGAACGGATGAATGGTTTATTGCTGTCACAGCGGCATCGTGTGACTGTTTCATGAGTGGATCTTTCTGAAGTGTTTGGTTCTCAGATCGCATCCTCAGAGGTTCCCATCCTCCCTCACAGCATCTGGACACTCGACATGAAAATGCTAAATACTGCGTCGTTACAGGAAGCTTCAGCTCCCAGACTGTGACGTCTCAGGGACGTTTTACCTCAAAATCCAGAGCACCCCCCCCTGTTGTTAGTGCAGTGTCAGAAACACTCATTGGGGATGCTGTTTTTGCAGCTACCTACGGTGGCCCTGAAAGGCCAAACGGACTGCAACTTAAGAAAACACCAGCAAGAAGAAAAACGCTGCAAAAGCAAACAAAACACAATGGAAATAGGAAAAAAACAAGGGAAGTGTTTCTGGGGAGACAATAACCTGATGGACCAGTTTTGGGAACCAAAACATGCTCGGTAAGTGTTTTAATCTCACGATTCATACGCACGATGGCGCGGTGGTTAGCACTGTTGCCTGAGTTCAATTCCACCATCAGG